TCAATCATTGGATGTCATGATTTGTTCGTTTATGGAGAAAAATAAGGCTCGACATTGCTTGCTTCTAGCTCCAACAATGCTCCACAAGGATGCAAACCTGCGCTTGGCCAAGAGAGAGGCACATCCTTTGCACACAGGCTATCAGCAAAATCTGCGACATGCCCTTTCCCCGTTGCGAAGCATTGTTGCAAGTTGTTCCTGCTGACTTGTCGAGTGTATGTTTCTAGCTTGATGCTTCTCAAATTCGCTTGCGAGCTGCTGCCACGTTAGCCGAAGGGAGCCGAAGGGTACTGGATGCCAAGCAAGCCAGGTCAGCCTCGAAACTTCAGTTGGTTTTGCGCGGGGCCTTCATTTGTCCTGTTGAGGGCTGTAAGCAGGAAAAGCTTGGCCAAGAGAGGCACATCCTTTGCACACAGGCTAACAGCAAAATCTGCGACATGCCCTCTCCCCGTTGCGAAGCATTGTTGCAAGTGGTTCCTGCTGACTTGTCGAATCTATGTTTCTAGCTTGATGCTTCTCAATTGCGCTTGCGAGCTGCTACCACGTGAGTTAAAGGGAAGCAAGCCAGGTCAGCCTCAAAACTGGGTAAGAAGAAACAGGTTCAGTTGGTTTTGCCCGGGACCTTCATTTTTCCGGTTGAAGGCTGTAAGCAGGAAAACAGCCAGCTGGCAGCAAGCAAGGTCAGCCCCAAAACTCGCAAAGAAGAAGCAGCTTCAGTTGGTTTTGCACGGCATTAAACAAACAGCCAAGCGCAGAGACTGGGAGACACAGGGGAGGCAAGCGGGAGACACGACCACGGAGCCGGCGTCACAGCATCTGGCATCCGACCGCAGAGACTGGCAGACACCGGGAGACAAGCGGGAGACACGACCCGGAGCCGCATCTGGCATCTGACCGCAGAGACTGGGAGACACAGGGAGACACGCGGGAAACACAACCCCGGAGCCGGCGTCACAGCATCTGGCATCTGACCGCAGAGACTGGGAGACACAGGGAGACAAGCGAAAGACACGACCCCCGCACACAGCGGGAGACACGACCCCGCAGCCAGCATCTGGCATCTGACCGCAGAGACTAGGAGACAGGAAAACAAGCGGGAGACACGACCCCGGAGCCGGCGTCGCAGCATCTGGCGTCTGACCGCAGAGAGGAGAGGCATCTGACCGCAGAGACTGGGAGACACAGCGAGACAAGCGGGAGACACGACCTGGAGCCAGCGCCGCAGCATCTGGCATCTGACCGCGGAGACTGGGAGACACAGGGAGACAAGCGAAAGACACGACCCCGCAGGCGGCGTCACAGCGTCTGGCATCTGACAGCGGCGACTGGGAGACAGGGAGGCAAGCGGGAGACACGACCCGGAGCCAGCGTCACAGCGTCTGGCATCTGACCGCGGAGACTGGGAGAGACCCCGGAGCCGGTCTGGGCATCTGACCGGAGAGACTGGGAGACAGGAACGCAAGCGGAAAACAGGACCCCGGAATCGGCGTCACACTTTCCGATTCTCTATACCTCAAGTTAGAACCCCAATGCTTCGCTGTTTGGGGAAAACCAAACATATGTAATAAAACAATCCTAAATTACATCTCGACCCAAAAAATAGTAATATCATGAGTATATACAATGTGCTTTTGGGTATGCCTTTGAACCAACCCCATTTCTTTTCTAAATACATAAATAAATAAGTAAATAAATAAATATATATATATATATATATTTATTTGAAGCAAACCCACATGGCCCATATGGCATGGTGCGTGGCAGTGACTGACGATTCGGCCCCCACACCCATCTCTGCTCATTGCTATTGCCGTCAAGCAAAAGGCCCCTTCCTTCTTGCGCACGCGCACTGTGCCCGAAGCAGGCCTGTAACGCCGGCGGTCTGAGCCGGAGGCGGTCAAGTTGACGAACACAAAGTCTTACATGTTTTTCACAAATGCAGCGCATGAAGCAATGGACATAGTGCGTGAGCCAATTCTTCTTGTTTTTTCTTGCGCGTTCTTTTCGCTGGAAAGGCCCCCGCAGCACTTGAGTGAAGGCCTTTGTTCCAGTTCTCTTCCCTAGGTGGGGATGTGTGCTGTTGTTTGTTTGCTTGCCCTTTCTTGGAAAGGTCCCCACGAGTGGTGTGGGGGTGCTACTAATCCGGTTGTGTCCTGCTGATGCTTCTTGTATTGTTCGTTTGCTTGCTCCTCTTGCACGGTACTTGAGTAGGGGCCTTTGGGAGGAAGTGGGGGGTGCTACTGGTGCATTTTGGCGCTTTCCTGCTGAGGCTTCTTGCGTATTCTTTTGTTTGGCCTCTTTCCCGCGAAGATGCCCCCGTAGCGCTTGAGTACGAACCTTTCGCTTGCCTTTGTTTGTTCGTTTTTTCCCTAGGGGCGCGAGTAGCTTGTGTTTGCAACCTTAAACGCTCTTCTGTGATCACCGACGTTACAGGCCTGCTTTCTTGTCTGTGTCCCATTCGAGTTGTCCCACTAGACTTCTCCGAATTCTCCCGTTGGAATTTTCCCCTGGACGTTCTCTCCATTTGGCATTTTCCCTTTGAACTTCCCCCTCTGGAGTTTCCAAGTGAAATTCTCCCACCGGAATTCTCCCTTTGGGATTCTCGCATTGGACTTTTCCATTTGGAGTTTTGCCTTTGGAATTGTGCCTTTGGAATTTTCCCTTGGGAAGCTTCCCTCGGGATTTTCCCTTTGGATTTCGCCCGTTGGAATTCTCCCATCGGAAGAGCCCCCCCCCATCGGAATTCTCTAGAACTGACCCGTTTCCCATTTGAAGTTTGCCTTCGAATTTGCTGGAAGTGCTCCTGTGGAGTTCTCCCGTTGGAATTATCCTATTGGAGTTCTCCCTTTGGATTTTCCATTGGAGTTTCCCGTCTGCAATTCTCCCATTGGAATGCTCCTTTTGAGTTCTCCGAAAGGAAACCTTTCTTGTCTCGTTGGACATGTCCCTCCGCAAGTTTACCATTAACATTTTCCCTTGGGCATTTCCCATTGCAGCTTCCCTTTGCAATGTTTGCTTCGGAATTCTTACATTGGACTTCTCCCATTGATTTTTTCCATTGGATGTTGTCATAGGAATTGTTCCCTTGGAATGTTCCTGTTGCAATTCTCCCGCTTGAACTCTGCCGTCGTTGTTTTTGCGGAATCTTCAACCAATGATTCCAATGGGAGAATTCCAACAGGACAATTCCAATTCGATCGGGACATTTTGAATGGGACATTACCAAAGGGAACAATCCAATGGGAAACTTGCAAATTAATATTCCAATGGGACCTTTCCAGTGGGACCTTTCCAATGGGATACTTCCAATGGGAGAATTGCAACGGCATAGATTTGATGGGATAAGGACAATTTCAAAGGGAGAAGTTCAAAGGGATAGTTTTCAATGGGGAACATGTTGAAGGGACACTTTCAAAAGGGACAATGCTGATGGGATAATTCCATTGCGAGAATTCAAAAGTCCAAAAAGGACATGTCCAAAGGACATAATCCAAAGATAGAATTCCAAAGAATTCAATGGGATAATTCCAAAGAGACAGTTTCCAAAGGACAAGTTGTACAGGGACAATCCCAATTGGACAATTCTACTGGGAGAATTTGAAAGGAAGAATTCCAAAGGGGAACATTCGCAAAACAGGGTCTTCCACCCGCTTCATCCATCCTCAGCAGCCCCAGCCCAACATCGCTAGCTTCCCTAGCATCACCAGCATTATGAGAATAACATTCCTGACAAAAACGCTTCCTGGAAACATGTTCCCATTGAACGTTCCCTTTGCCCATTGGAAGTTTGCTTTGGAAATCTCTCATTGGAACGCCTCCTTTGAAATTGTCCCATGTCTCTCTGGAAGGGTTTCATGGGAATTCTGCTATTGGAAGTGTCCCTTTGAAATCTTCCTTTTGGAATTCTCCTTGTTGTGGAAATTTCACTTTGGAATGGTTCCAGTGGAAACGTCCCGTTGAAATGTGTTTGTTTCTTCGGAATTTTCGGTTGGAATTCTCCCAAAGTTTCCCTGCCATATTCCACTCGAAGTCTCCCGTTGGAATTCTCCGACATCATATTGTCCCATTGGAGTTCCCTTTGCGTGAGTAGGGACCTTTGGTTTGCCTTGGTTTGTTTACGGTCTTGTCCCGAGTTTGCAATTTCCTGGAATCCCTGCAAGACGCGCGTGACCTATCACTTGACCCTGTTTTCCAGAAATCCTGCAGAACTTGAGGGACCTATGGTTTGCCTCTTCATTCATCGTCTTTTCCGTGTCTTGCCAGTCGCAAGACACGGGGGACCTTTCGTTTGACCCCGTCTCCGGTTTTCCATGATTGTCTTTCTGATGATTCCGGTGCTTCTAAGCATCCAAAAAGATGTTGCGCAGTGGCACAGGCGGAATCGAACACCCCAAGGAATTTACGCGTCCGTGTTTCGCATCGCCTCTCGTATCAAAGGATTTAGTCTACGGACCGACTGGAAATCACACAGTGCAGCCCCCTCCCCCGCGGCCCTCAGTGGGGGAAAGTCCGGATCTGTGCCCTGCCTGACCACTACGCATGCCCTGCGCAGGAGTTTCAGCCGCTTGAGACTGCCATAAGCTTGCCTGCGCTAGCAGGGCAGGCCAGGGCTGTTGCATGAGCCAAATGTTTTACCTTGCTGGTTGCAACCTGTGGACAGGGGCAGGGGCGCCCAAGTTCAACCAAGGGAGCATTCAAGGTGCGGATCTCCCCCCAGCCCGTCTTCATGACTCAATAGGGCTTGTGCATCGTGTGTGTGTTTGGTTGTTGCAAGCTTTGGCTTCAAGGCTCGTTTTGCAAGATGCAGAAATTCGAGATGGCTTGAGCGGAGGTCAGCAATTGTTGAGATCCCGCATCCCTGTCACTTCTTCCGAGATCGGGATGAAGCAGTTGTCGCGGAGCGTGGCTCGAAGATGGATCCGTGCACCGCACAGCTTTTCTGCCGGAAGTCACTGCGTGCGGCCTCTTTGTGCTGCTCTGAGACATAGACACTGGGAGTCATGGAGCTTTCCAGTCCGGTTTCCTTCAAGAGCTTACCAGATCCGGACATTCGCTGTGCAGGGCCAGTCATATTATGAGGTCCTGGGCGTGGCGCAGTCCGCTTCCCAAGCCGAGATCAAGAAGGCGTATCTGGCCGCAGCCAGGAAATGCCACCCCGACCTCAACCCTTCCAAAGATGCCACCGTGGAATTCCAAAGGCTGGCTGAAGCGTATCAGGTCCTGAGTGATGAAACACGGCGAGCAACCTACGACCGTTATCTGAGAACCGGAGAGTCCGGCCAGACACCTTCGGGAGGGTATCAGGAGCCTCCAGACTTGGACCCTTCAGACATCTTCCGCCACGTCTATGAGGAGCTGAGGGTGGAGCAGATTTTGCAGCGGCTGAGGGGCGTGCAACAGGAAGCCTCCAAGGCTTTGGTTTGCAAAGAACGGCTTGAGGGATATAAGCCATCTTTGCACCCTTTAATTTTGGCGAAATCTCAACCAGTGGCCATGGCTTCCCATCTCGGGGTGTTTGGGGTCTCGTGCTGGAAGTTTGTGCGTAGGCGGCGGTGGCGGCGCAGGGCGGAGACTTCAGCCTGGGCAAGGCCTTCGTGTGGAAGCACAAGGGCCTGGCGGCGGCGGTGCTGCTGCCGCTGGGCCTCATGCTGCGGTTCCCCCAGGTGCAACATCGGCGGATTCGCTTTGGAGGGGCATCCCAACAAACATACTTCAACAAAAAATGGTTTGAACGTGTTTCAACTGTCAAACATCAAACGTCGGTATGCGTCGCCAGGAGTGTATCGTTTTTGGAGGGTACTTTTTTCAGGTTAGGGAGGCCACACGCACTGAAGCTTTTGTTTGGCATGCCTGTGATACGTGGAAGGTTCTCCAACTGGCGGGAAAACGCCCCCTTTTCCTCTTGGTTTGCTTTTACAGACGGAACCGTTGCCATTTTAGGAACTGGACTCCCGATTGTGAGACATCATTCATGTGGGTTGTGTTCTGCTATCTTGTTGCCCATATTGGCAGTAAAATGGTCCAGAACCAATTGAAACGGCGGATTCCCACACCAATTTCTGGCTGGGACTGTCCCTTACTCCCATTAATGAGGGTTTTGATGGCGAATCCATGTGGGCGAATCCACCAGGTGGTGGGCATGGCGCTACGTGTGCTGGGCGTCGTGGCTGGCACTCTGCTCCAGAGTCGCGTCATGCGCGAGCTGATTCGAGAATGGGTTTGGGTGCAGCCGGGGCCTTAGCGGCCTAGAAGCTCAGGTTATACATGACGTAAGTAAATAGGTGTATACATACATGCTACCCCACGAAGGATCTATTGTTTTGCTGTTTGAAGGCATTTGGAGATGGAATGCAGTTGTTTTAGTTGACCTGCCCCATGCGACTTGACCAGCATCAGTTCATCCGAAGCAAGGAAATCCTCTTCAAAGTCTAATTTCAAATAGTCATTCGAATAACACGTTGGTCTTTGAAAAGGAATTCCCATTTAATTTCTCTTTGAAGTTAGAGAATACACTCAGTAAACTCCATTCAAATTCTAAGTAGAAAATGAGAAACAACACATCCTGGGAAAGGACGTCCTGTTGAATAACTAATTTGAAGCAATAATCCGAATGAAGCATCTTCTTTAAACAGGACATCCTATTTACTTCATCTTTCAATCTACAAGTTCAATTAGGGATTGCTCACATTTAATTTGTATTGAAATTCTAATTAGACAAATTGAACAAGTCGACTGATTTAAAATAATAACTCCAATTAAAACCTTCGAAATAACGACATAATTTTTCTCTAGAGCTACATTCTACTAGATTTCTTCCCTTATAATGTACTTTACATTCTGATAACAAACATTAACCACACGATTTAACATATATGTCCACACAATAATCGTAATTACACATCTTCTTTGAAAAGGGCGTCCTGCTTAAATTTTATTTAGTCTAGAAACTCGATTAGACTTATTTCCATTTTGAGTTTCATGTTTATTTATTATGGTTATTTTACACAAACCATCTACGAGAAATCAGTCTGATTCCTATAAATGAGAGTCAATAAACCCCAAACCCTAAACCGTACACCAAAACCTGTTCTACTTTCAAGCTGAGGTTTGATCAGACAATGGAAAGGTAGCAGATTTTGCAGCCAAATGCAAAGAAGAAAAAGAAAGTACTGTTATGGACCCAATGACCCAAAAGTAAAAGAATGATGAAACAGAACAAACGTTAAAAAAAAAAAAAAAAAACGTAAAAGAGTAAACAGTAAAGTGACCCCAAGCAAACAAGTAACATACTGAACAAGTAAGAAGGCAAGAAAGTAAAACACAAAACACACCATTTCAAGCCAAGGTCCTGAAGTAAAATGATCTGATGGACTAACATATCTTAGATGTTTGCGGTTTTACTTTTTACCATTTTACATGTTTGCTCTTGTTACATCTTTACATTTTTCTCCTTTTCTACAACTTTGTTTTTGGTCATTGGCTCCACATTTGTTTTTGGTGTTTAAGTGTTTTCATACTTTTTGTTATTTTTGTACCTTTGGGTCATTGGCTCCAGATTTGTTCTCCTTTTTTACTTTGGAACCATTGGCTCAATAGACGTTTCAAATCATGTGACCAAACCTCAGCGGAGGACATAGGACAGAGGAGGATCCAAACCGGCTTAAAAACATATTCGTGCCTGGAAACAAGATTCTCTAGAAAAGTTTGGATCTGAAGCTTCGAGATTGCTTTTGCTGCTTGATCGACGGGGCGGTACCACATGTGCATTATATATATATATATTCACATATATATATATATATACACATGCACTGTATGTAGAAATAAATAAATAAATAAATAAATAAATATACATACCCATACGGACTTGACATATATATATATATACACATTCATATGACCATACTATTGTGAGTGAGCATCAGATTTAGTTGGCCTCGATCAACGAGGATGTATTTAAGAGTCCTGCAGCGTGAGATTTCAGTGTTGAGACTTTTTCTGGGTGCAGGTGGCGCCTCTTCGTGCAGCGGGCTCACCACCGTCGTGGAGGCAGAGGCAAACGATGAACTTTGTTCTCTGAAAGTCTGCAGCCGCTCAAAGCGGAGAGTAGTGAAGCGTTCATGCGCAGGAAATCACATCAATGCATTTTGCTGTGCAATCTTTGACGCCAACATCGATTGATGCAGTGACAGTTGCATCAGGATTTATAGAACAAAGCTTGGCATACAAGCGGGCAACTCGCTCAACCTCAAATCCAGAGTTCACACTTTCCATGATGCAGTCGTTGCGTGCCGCAGTTTGGGATCCACCGAGCCACAGGGTCCATTTTGGCCAGTTTCAGCTCCTAGCAGGGAACCTAGGAGCCTGGCGCCATGTCCCAGATTCTTGGCTGGATGGGCAATGCCTTGCAGTTCGACTGGGTGTCTGAGTGTTTGCGGTAGTTCGCAGCCAAGGAGAGGGACCCTGAAGAAGTTCTTCGCGGAGAAGGGCATAGGCGGCTTCGCGGCACCCCAGATTTGCATGCACGATATCATGGCAACAGGCTGCATGAAGTGCTGTGTGCAAGATGCATGAAATCCGAGGATACATTGCGCCTGACGATGGCAGTGAAGATGTGTTCATTCATTTCCAGTCCCTGATAAACGGTGGCACCTCGGTGGAAGTGAGCGCAGGCCGTCATGCATGCACATGTGATTAGGGTGAAATTGCAGTTCCTTGAAGCGCATTCTTTGTGTTCCACTATTCTTCTCAGTGTGCAAGGTGAACCGGACATGATTCCGGGTGCCAAACTTAGCTATGACCTGGAGATCAACGACAGAAATGGCAAGACCAAGGCGCTCAGGGGTTGTTTTTGCGGACTGCGAGGGCAAGACGTGCAGGCCGTCAGGGTGAAGATCGAGGTCCCCGGTGACCCGAACAACCAGTGGAAGGGCGGTGGCGGCGGCGGCGGCGGCGGCGGCGGCGGTGGCAAAGGATGATGTTGCAACAGCGAGGTTGAAATCTGAAGATGGATGAAACACGTTCATGTCTGACTCTGCTCATCTGGAATTTCACTTCCGTATTGCTGAAAGCATGGAGTTTTGTTTGCAAGGAGGCTACGGGAAGATGCCAGGCCAGCGCTATGGCGTCATGAAGCGCACAAGATTGCTTTGAGAGTCTCCCCAAATTTGCGAAACGGCACGCTGTGAAGCGCTCAACTGCTTTGTTTGGTACGGTTACGCAAGTGAGTTCTTCGAGCTGTGTCCAAAGCGGCGCCAATTCCTCAGGCAAGAGAAGTCATGGAGCAGGCCCTTATGGTCAGTCCGGCGGGGGTGACTATGGTGCCTTGGAAGTGGCTGATGCGATTTGGAGTGTGCAGCTCGTAGGCTTTCATTTGCCCAGTTGTCCGACTGAGGAATGGGCAATCTGGCAGCTGGCTATGACATGAACGCTGCCTACTGGGCTTCTTTGTACTCGCAGGCTACGCAGGCAATGCAGGCCACTTCGCGAGCAAAGCAGTTGGGCTTGAAGTATGAGACTCCTGCTGTTCAACTGGAATCGGCAATGTCAAATCGTCGACTTTTGGAAAAGCTCCTTTGGGTTTGTCCTTCTGAGTAGGATTTTCTCGGAGTTGGTATTTGGAATGCCTGCGCTTGGCCGCGCTGACGAACGGCTTGACTTCTTTGCAGTCTTTGGGCGTGCGAGGCTTCAGGTGGAGCTGGGATGGGAGGCCAGGCAGACTTTCGAGTTCTTGGGATGTGGCTTGTGGCAGTGAAAGATGCGCTATCTTGCGCAGGCGGTGGCGACTATGATCAAGGAGCAACCTCAGGGTCGCAGAACTTCTTTCTTTTTTTGGCAGAACTCCTCCACTGAAGTGCAGCATTAGAGTTGGGAAGCACCATCCGGGCTATTTGAGCTACTTTGTTCGTTTTGGCTAGTTCGGCCTCTTTGAGCATCCAGCAGGATACGGCGGCGGCGCCTACACCCAAGGAGGCCGTATGAGTGCAGAGTAGGGAGTCCAGTGAAAGTGCCGCACTTCAGCCCTGAGCATTCCAGGCTGGCAGGGTGGCGCGGGCAAAGGCAATACCCAGGGGTGGTAACTGGCTGACACTCCTCGAGAAAAGAATCGTAAAACATTTCCATTTGTGGAGCTTGTGCATTTCTGACGAGCATGCAACTGTGAACCTGGCCCTTCCGCTCAGCACTTCACATTAAAATGCGCAGTAGAGGTGTAGTAGGTGTGGTGATGAGACGAGAAGGTTCATAGTTTTGACGAAGCCAGCTTGCGACTTCGATGGAATGACATCCGTGACAGCATCCATTGACTCCCAGCTTTGGCAAACTGCTTTGGCACCCTGCCGCCATGGTCATTGCACCAGCCTTGGTTGACTTTCTTGACTTTCCGCCGAGTGAAACCCACTCCAGTCTCGACCGAATGCAAGGACATGGCAACGTCGCCCAAGGCGCGGATGACCAGCTCCATGCGGGACGCTGAGAGACGTGTCAGCTTTGAGCTTGGCTCGGCTTGTTTCATCAGGTCTTGGAGCTCGCCTCAGCTGAAGAGGGGGCCCACGCCGTGGAATGACACGCTGCGCTTGTGGGGGCCAAAGCTGGCCTGGCGTCCGATCACTTTGCGGTCCATGGCCAAATGGCTGAGGCCGCGAGAAGGCCCAAAGCCAGGAGGTGGCAAAATGGAAGTCCTGGAGCCAGGTGCCTTGGAGGCGCTCACACGCTGTGCATTCAACTTGCCATGCAATCCATGGCTAAGCAGCCAGCAGAGCGGCGCCATGTCCACCGCAAGCTTGGTGTCTGAGAGCAGCGTGGCAGGCGCTCCGGACGGAGGCCGCCAGAGAGCAGGCCGCGGCTGAAGCAGAGGCAACGGCTGAACGAATTCTGAGGGCCGGAGCCGTTTGAACGGGCGCGAGGCTTTAGACAGTACACAGCGACCAAAGAAAGACAGGAGGAAGAGGACAGTGTCAGCATATCCTCACAAGTGCACTCGCACAGACTGCTCAACCATCTTGGATCAAGTGATGACCTGGCAAGAGCCTGTCAGGCAGACTCAGAGCACTCACATCAGTGGATCAGTAGATGCCACACTCTCCACCAGCGACCGTGCCTTAGTGACAGATTGCAGCGACGTGTCTGAGCTTTTGCATGCTCAGGCCAAAGGTGCGTCGACAATGACCATGACACCACTTATAACAATTGCAGGCGATACGTTTCTATGAATCGACTTTTGTGAACTTTCATGATCGAAGGCGCAGATGGTGCGAGCATGGCCCAGGGCTCGAGAATGCTCATGTTGCGACAGACGTGGCACGTGTCTCTTCAGGTTTTGCCACGCCGCGCCGAGCATTTGGATGGCCCGGAGGCGCGAAAAGCATGCAGGGTGCGGTCGCATAGTATCTTCAGATGCATTGTTGGAATCATTTGCCAACGGTCCTGCACAATTCATGCTACGACATGCCATTGGTCTGCGCCAGGCTCGCCGTAGGGTGGAGATGCAGACAAAGTTTCACAAGGCTTGGAGTTGTTGAAGTCTGGCCACTTGCAAGTTGTATCTTACTTGCTGCAGCTGATGCAGACAGGTTGAAGTAGCTCGCCAACACGACCAGAAACTCATCCGTGAAAGAGCAGAGAAGTGCTATGCTTGGAGCGATATCGTGTATATTATGGGCTGCTGCGGACGTTGTTGCCTATTTTAGGCTGCTGTGAAGAAAGACTGCACCATGTAATGTGTAAAAGTGCCACTTTGTTGTTTCCATCGTAGACAATCCGCGCACATGGGGGTTGTGCAAGCCTTGGTGGTGGAATCAAGCGACCACACTCAGGTGCAAGACAATGCGAGAGGATCGCTTCAAGCGCTTGGTCGACGCAGTTTGCGATCATGGAGGTGCTCGGGTTGGTCCCATGTCCCACGTTGTTCTCCCAGGTCCAATGCATGTGATTTGCCGAGTATGCATTCCGCTATGCTAAGCAATCCACAAGCGCTTCCAAGAGCAGGTCTTGCAATGGAGTGCGCTGAGAATCTGGCAGCCTTCGAGCAAAGATTCCAGCAAAGCTGGCCTGTTTTCAAGTATGCATCGCGGTGGCCACACCGCCGAGTCTTGGGCATACAACACATACTGTGGATGGTCGAAATCCTGCACCACGTTTAAAAAAAAAAAAACCTGGTTTCGGCGATTCCTCTATAAGTACCAACAAGTAACGGTTGTCATGGTTTCCAAATGGTGCAGTGGCAGGCAGCGTCGGTGGGAACTCTACTCGGACTGGGATGAGAACGTGTCCCACCCCATCCAAAAGCAGGCTGGGTCAATCTTCTTTGGGCCTGCGAAATACGGAGACCGAGGCCTTCGACTATGTGAATCCAGCAGACAGATCCCTGCAAAAGTCAGGCATGAAAACTGTTGGCCTTAGCCTGAGTAAAGGCAGCCTGCGGTCTTTTTTGGCTTGCTGGCTGCTGTATGCGTCAAACAAGTCCACAGGCTGGACGTTGCCGACAGACACTCCGAAGCTGAAGCTCAACGTGACCAAGGACTCAACATCACCGAACAAGTTGACAGGGATTGACCGAATCGGCCAAACTGGTCGTTGCCATGCATCAAAGGCAGTTTGGCGAACATATTTCAAGAGATGCAGGATCCCGTTCGCCGACAGCTGCTGGAAACAGAATACGAGAAGGCTTTCCATGAGGCAAGATGCTCACTCCAAAGCACAATTGGATCTGAGATCAGCTGGAGGTCGCAGAGGCCGTCCTTGGCCGATCACAAAGCTCACCGGACATCCTTAGAAGGTCTGCGTATTTCGATGGGTGCAGGACTTAGCCAGTGGCCACAGCCGAAATTAACGGTTGCTTGATATTCATTCTAGCAGATGGACGTGGGCATGCTTCAAGGGCTTATCACTCTTGAAGCATTCCCCTTCCTTCAATCTTACGCCATTTGCGTTGGCTCTGGCTTCAGCAGTCTGCTCCTGGCGGTTTTCATTTGCTCTGCGCTTGTGAGGCGCAGTGGTCCGGGTGCACGAGCGCTCAGCCGGCCGGTGCTGGAGCCCACTGCAGGGCACTCGGGTGAAACCGCAAATTTGAGCCACAAAGACATGGGGGAAAGCCGCTGTGGGTTGGTTGGTTGGTTGGTTGGTTGGTTGGTTGGTTGGTTGGTTGGTCGGTCGGTCGGTTGGTTGGTTCGTTGATTAATTGGTCGGTTGGTTGGTTGGTTGGTTGGTGGGTCGGTTGGTTGGTTCGTTGATTAATTGGTCGGTTGGTTGGTTGGTCGGTCGGTCGGTCGGTTGGTTGGTTGATTAATTGGTCGGTCGGTTGGTCGGTTGGTCGGTTGGTTGGTTGGTTGGTTGGTTGGTTGGTTGGTTGGTTGGTTGGTTGGTTGGTTGGTTGGTTGGTGGGTCGGTTGGGCGGTTGGTTGGTTCGTTGATTAATTGGTCGGTTGGTTGGTTGGTTGGTTGTGGGTCGGTTGGTTGGTTCGTTGATCAATTGGATTGGTTGGTTGGTTGGTTGGTTGGTTGGTTGGTTGGTTGGTTGGTTGGTTGGTTGGTTGGTGGGTCGGTTGGTTGGTTCGTTGATTAATTGGTTGGTTGGTTGGTTGGTTGGTTGGTTGGTTGGTTGGTTGGTTGGTCGGTCGGTTGGTTGGTTCGTTGATTAATTGGTCGGTCGGTCGGTCGGTCGCTCGCTCGGTCGGTTGGTTGGTTGGTTGGTTGGTTGGTTGGTTGGTTGGTTGGTTGGTTGGTTGGTTTTGATCTGTTCGCTCCGAGGAGTGGGGACAGCAACGATTGCAGGGGACCCTTTTTGGTCGCTTCGCTCAGGCTCCGACATGTGTTGACTCCTCCACTTCAATGAGCTATGCCCGTGGGTTTAGCCCTGCAAGGCCTGCGAAGAAGGTCCTAACTTCACCCGCGCGAGAAGAGGTGGAACAAATGTCTTTGTGCCGGACGAGTCCGATATGATACAGGTGGCTTTTGCCTCAGGTTTTTCTTGCAAATGCGGTAGGTTTGCGAGTGCCATTCTGCAAAAGTGTACACCAAGGCTGGAACCCGTAGAAGTCGAGAGCACGGGCACCACGATAAGGGCATCTTGAAAGGAAACAAGGCCTCGCAAGGCGAGTCGTCAGAAGGGAAGACTCATGAAGGCGGGTCCTGATACGTTTGTTTTGTGAACTGAGTGTTCACTGGGGGCTAAGCGATTTGGATTTTGAAAAGCCCATGGCCACTTGAGACGCCCGCGCTCAGGGTGCTCTTCTGGAGCGCCGTCACAAGATCACTTCACCTTTCAGCACGGCAAGGAGGTCACGGACCTGGAGTTTCCTTTGGGAAAGAAGGCGGGAGAGCCTTTTTGAGCAATCCCCGGGTTGATCTATATTCCCTTCGGCCCCCCAAATGACCATGGATATTTTTCCCATTTAGTAGCAATTATCACCTTTTTGCGGTTTCCTAACAATCCTAAGCAAGCGCTTTGAGCGACACGGAGCCTACCGGATTTGCGCGAGAAAACCGGACAACTGAGAAAACCAAGATAACCGGAAAACAGAGAAAACCGCGAAAACCGCGAAAACCGAGAAAACCGAGAAACACAAAGAACTGAGAAAATCGAGAACAACATGTTTGCGCGGTTTTCGCGGTTTTGCGGTGTTCGCGTTTTCGCGGTTTGTGCTGATTTCGTGTTTTCGCGGTTTGTGCTGATTCCGTGTTTTCGCGGTTTTCACGGTTTTCGTGGTTTTTGCGGCTTTCGCGTTTTCACGGTGTTCACGTTTTCGCGGTTTTCGAAGGTGTCCGCTGCGTTTTCGTTGTTAATTAATATGCTTCAAGGACTTGTATGTGGAGCCCCGGCAGTCATAGAGAGAAGATAGATAGATTGATGGATAGATAGATCAATAGATACATAGGGTAAGATAGGATAAGACACGGTATGATAGGCCAACTTGGGATAATATAGCATAAGATAGCATAAGATAGGATAAGATGGGATAAGATGGGATAAGATAGGATAAGATAGGATAAGGTAGGATAAGATAGGATGAGACATGAAAAGATAGGATACGAGAGAAAAAGTAGGATCCATAGTGAATATATATATATATATGTACATATGTACACAATAGATATGATGGAAAAGGTAGATGCAACATACAAGATAGATCAGGTAGATAGACAGGGAAACTAGATAAGATAGATACGATGAGCTAGATAAGACAAGTAGGACAGATAGGATAGAAATGATAGTTGGGCTAGATAAGATGGATAGGATAGGTAGATAGGTATTTGTGTAGATTGATAGATCGACAGGAGATAGATAGATAGATAGATAGATAGACACACTTAGGCTAAGATAGGATACGATAGGATAAGACAGGATAAGATAGGATAAGGCACGATAAGGCAGATAGATACATGTATAGATTGATAGATAAATAGATCGATAGGACAAGATAGGCTAAGATAGGACACGACAGGATAAGGCAGGATATAATATGACATTTAGATAGATACATAGGATAAGATAGGCTACGTTAGGATAAGACAGGATAAGACACGCTAAGACAGGCTATCATGGGGTAAGATAGGATAAGATAGGATAACGTAGGATAAGATAGTATGAGATAGGATAAGATAGGTTAAGGTAGGCTAAGACAGGATAATATAAACGTAGGTAAGGTAGACAAGGGAAATAAAGTAGATAGGGCGCACATGATATACAATAGCTAAACACGAGGAGATGGATAGGAAAGATAGCGAATATAGGATAGATAGGTAGGTAGATTGACAGACAGATACATAGCATAAGAGAGGAGTATGATAAGATAGGGTAAGGCAGGATAAAATAGGACAACATGGGATACGACAGGATACGATGGGATAAGTTTGATAACACAGGACAAGATAAGTTCAGATAGGACAATACATAATAATAATAATAATAATAATAATAATAATAATAATAATAATAATAATAATAATAATAATAATAATAATAATAGTAATAGTAATAGTAATAGTAATAATAATAATAATGATAATAATAATAATAATAATAATAATAATAATAATAATAATAATAATAATAATAATCATAATAATAATAATAATAATAATATGATAAGACAAGACAAGGTAGGTAACGCAGATAAGGTAGATATGATAGGTATGATAGATGAGATAAATAAAACATACATATACGATGAGATAGATCGGAACGATAAGACATATGTTCCAGGTCGTGAATCTTTCCTTCCCGGTAGATAAGGTAGATCAGGTAGACAAGGTAGACAAGGTAGATAAGGTAGATAAGGTAGATAAGGTAGATAAGGTAGATAAGGTAGATAAGGTAGACAAGGTGATAAGGTAAGGCCAACAGACGGCGTGTTGGATAAGAAATGCTCCTTGCTTCTTTACCTGGTGCTCCTCCGCGCACGGTTTGGGGGGGCGGGGGAGGGGAGGGGGTGGCCGCGTACCACGCGGTGATTGCTAGACGTTCCCTTTTCGTAGGACGCAGTTGCGTAAGATATTGAGGTGTTGGATTCCGCTCATGCATCCTGAGCATCTGCATCTCCAGGGCAACATCGCCAGCATCACCTGCATCATCCGCATCAGTGTTGGCCAAGGATGCGGATGATGCAGGTGGTGATGGGGATGTTGCCCAAACATGTTAAGGGGGGGAAGAGGAAAACATCTTGCGGGGGGCAAGGGGATAAAAGATCTTAGGGGGGGGGAAGAGGGAAAAAGATCTTACGGAGACTGCCAATGGCATAATGGGAGAGCAGGCCTGTGGCGGCCAGAGCCGGAGGCGTTAAACTATATGATAGACAATATGCGTAAGAGAGATAAGACATAAGATAGATGAGTTTGAACATATAGAAAATCTACGATGAGAAAGCTCGGATAGGAATGATAGACAGGATAGATAGGATAGGATAGGATAGGATAGGTAGGATAGGATTAGGATAGGATAGGGTGGGATGGGGAGGTAGGTAGGTAGACAGGTAGATAGATATACTCATAGATATATAAGGTTTGGTTAGATCAAACTGGATTAGATAGATTGATTACAGACAGATGGATAAATAAACAGATGGATTGGATGCAGCCAGTGTCTGGCCGCCAGTGAGCCAGCCGCCGCCGAGCAGCCGTGCCCGGCCGGCCAGTCAGCCAGCGTCGGGTTGCGCGTTTTCGCGGTTTTCGCAGTTTTCGCGGTTTCTGTGGTTTTTGCGGTTTGCACGGTTTTGTGCTTTTCGCGGTTTTCGCGGTTTTCACGTATTCGCGGTTTCGCGGTTTTCGCGGTTTTCGCGTTTTCGGTTGCAAAGTCCGCTTAGCGCGCGTCACGAAAAAGAATCGCACAGTAAACATCAACCCCCATATATTATACAGGAATATTGTCTAAGTATGACAATGGTAGCTGTAGCAAATGGTAGCTGTGATTGAGTTGCTCGAGTCAATCTCCAAGTGTGGGGCTCAGCAGGTTTTCCCGGAGTTCCATTGACGATCTTGGCCCGCTTCAGTCTCACCATGACAGACTGGGAGTGGGGAATCATTGTTTATCTCAACGAGAATCCGATCTGCGCCCAGCCTGGAACGTGGCACACCGAAGGTGTACCTGGATATGTACAGCAAACAGCTGCAGGAGCTGCAGTTGAACGGCGATGCACCAGGGATTTTTTTGGTGAGGTTAGATCGCCGTGTTTCGTTGGCCTCGTGTTTGCAAGCTTGGCTTTTTTCCCTCGCCAAAGGCGAGTGATAGCCATACGTGCAGTCGTCAAGACGAATTGCCAGAACCGGCATCGCCCATGCCCATGCCTTCCTAGTGAATTTCAGGGGTGAGTGGCGTGAAATCGGCCGGCACAGAAGTCTCAATCGTTTCTTTCCATGTCCAATGCTTGGACAGCAATCGCGTGCTTTTCAGGCGCATGGGCGAGCACATGCTTACGGCACACACACACACAGATACAAATCTCTTATTTGATCTAATTTTGTATTGGGAGAACCAGAGTGGTTGGAATACCGAATGAAAGTAAAATTCACCAGTTGCTTGAGCCACTGCTTTTCATTTGTCACTCGCCGGCCTTGCAGCCAAGCCTCAGCTGAGCCATGCATTGGGGAAACGCCTGGTACTCACCGTTCGGCACTGAGATCGATGGATCCTTCACCAATTTTTTCGGGGCAACCATTTTTGCGCCGAGGCCTGCCAGCGACAGCGGCCGGGAGCCGCGTGGCGCTTGGGGCAAAGGGCTGGATGTGTCTCAAAATGGAACCTGGGGTATTGGTTGATTTCAATGAAAGCCTAGGGGCAACCGAGTCCCGAATAATGCCATGATGCCAAGGCCGGCAAGCTCCCACATCAGCTTTGAAAGTGCCAGTGAGGAAGAACCCCAACACGGAAGCTACATCCGTGCCAGCCGCAACCAAGCACCCGCCCCGCTGACAAAGCCATCTCAGCCAGAACCAGCTCAGCCAGCTCAGCCAGCTCAGCCAGCTCAGCCGGCTCAGCCAGCTCAGCCAGCTCAGCCTCAGCCAGCGTCATCAGCCCGTCTACTTCAGCCAGAACCAGTCACCAAGGCTGATGCAAGCAAGGCAGACCGCAAAGTCCGGCTGCCAGGGAGCATATCTCCGGGCAGTTGGGGACTCACAGCTGACACGCTGAGAAGCACAGTTTGCAGCGATGATGGCTTTCGAAGCAGACACTTGAGCTCCACCCACGGTACAGCGGCGGCACACGAATCGCAGACAGAGGCTTTGAGTCGAGCGGCTCACAGTTTCAATGCGGCCCTACAGCAGGGGATTCTCGGATGCATTGTGCAAGGATTTGGAAGAGCCAAGAGTTGGCTCTGATCTAACCCAACACATCTCACTTTGAGCAAAACAAGCCCAACATGTCATATAAGACCATGATATTCTTTGCTTGGACTGCAGTGCGTGCTTGGTCGGCAACCTTTGCTGTGAAAGTGAGCCATCATCAAAACTCGGGTAAGCGAAGGTCAGTAAGGGACAGTCTCAGCCAGATTTAGTTGCGGCCGCCTTTGTAGTTCTTTGCATTGGTTTGGGTACACCATTTTCATACTAGGTTTTGATTGTAACTCATGTGGCATTCTCAGGGATGCCTTGCTTGTTTTCCAAGGCAATGCCATTCCCTCTGGAAAGCAGCAGCTGATGTAGCTCGGGAGCCGGTGGAGGTGCCTTGCGTTTTTTTTTGTTTTGTTTTTCTTCTTCTGTTTTGTTTAGACACTTGAATGAACCGGGGGGGGGGGGGGAGCAAATTCTTCTATGGTATGGAAAGATGTTGTGAAGCGTGGTTGGTGCCCCCCCCTCGTTGATCGAACGTTCATGCATAGACGTGTACTGGCCGGTTTGTTATGGCGGGCAAATTTAGTGCAGCTGACTTTGGTTGTGCCGCGCGGAGGGAACATTTGCCTCAAGAGCATCGCGCCTAGTTCAGGCCGCGCCTGCTGAAATCAGGCGTTGCCAGATCAGCCAACTGACCCACTTGGCACAGGAGCAAGCGGGATTTGTGACCAAAGTGGAGCAGGAGCGGAGCGCACAGGTTCGCACTTGTTCGGGTTGCAGCGTTATTTTTGCATCAACGGTCATATGCCACAGCTCAGATCGCAAGAGAAGTCGGCTCGAGTCCGGGCAAGGAGCTGCTTCACTTTGGGAAGTCCCTAGATCAGCAGGGCTGTCTTCGAGAGGCCCTCCGACTTCCCACTTCAAAGCTATGTGCCTGTCGCACTCAGGCCTTGCAGCTTCAAGTGGAGGAGGAAGGGAGGGTGCCGCCCTCGGTTGGCTTCGAACGGCCGCAAGCGCGGCACGTGGCTGTGGATAAAAAAAAAAAGGTGCCCAAAATGGATCACTGGTAAATGGAACCCAGGACTAAAGCCTGCGGTCCCCTGGTGGCTTAATTTTGACCCACACCCACGTGTTCACAGGGCTCGAGTAAGGCCTGGCGGAGGGAGGCCCAGAACCTGGCGCAAAACTTGGAGCAGCTCAGGGCGCAGCTGGCGCAGACCATGGAGGCGGAGAGACGCTTGTTGTTCCCCATGGGGACTTCCTGGATTTTTTGTTGGGGACTTAGGGAATTCGTGGGGGCAGGGCTTGCCGGGCCGCTCGCACGGGCGAGGCAGCCTTGTGGTCCGGGAAGGAGATCACGGCGGTGCGCAAGGACCAGTTGGGCGTGTCCTTTGTTGAGGCTACCGAATTTTGTGGTGTGGTTTTAAGGGGAAACCAACTGGACACCTCCATTTTTGGGGTTCTCTTATTTTAAGACGCAGTTGTGTCAACATGGAGCCAATCTTAAGCCCCTTCGCTGACTAAGTACAAGGCCCTTGGGGGGGCAAACATGGCATTTTGACCGCTCGGCGTGTGGAGCGCTTGTCTACCAGCGAGGCTCAAAGAAAAGCCGTTGCCTTGTCCACATTTGGGTGTGGCTGCTTCGCTCCCATGTTCGGAACCAATTTCGGAATGGGAACAAGAGACCCTGCAATTGAGGGAATGCAAAAGCAGATCAACAATGTGTGCGCAAAGCACCACTCGAACTACCAAGCTCTCTTTGTGTCTTGGAACGACAACCAGCGTCAGCAGGGAAGCTGCTGGGGCAGCAACATCACTGATGCACGCCTGAAGGGCAAAGATGGTGAGGATTTCCTCGCTGCTCCGCTGAATGCTTGGCATTTGTTTTGGACTCATGACTTCTCTCCCTTGGGCTCTGATTTGAAAGGGATTGCTTGCAGTCACCCATTTTACCCCTTGCAGGTTCTTAGGCCGCAAAACTTCAACGAGCGCATTGGACGAGTTCGTGCCTCTGACATTGCACTGCTGGCTGGCAGAGATTCAGCTTTGTCGCCCATCACCTTGGAGCAGTACCTCAAAGACTTCCATGCACACGGAGCCTATGCAGGGTCCATACCCCCCCACACATCCCTTCTTGCAGCTGGAAGAGACCAAAGTGTGGGGATTAGATTCCAGGCAGTGTTTCTCCCTGTGCCTGCAAGTGACAGCCTCTTCGGCAACTCCAAGTCTGGTGTGAAGGAGTTCTACCCGGACACCTACAACTACCAGACCCACAGCTGGGAGGATCCCAAAAATATGGTGCTGTTGTGCACTTCACAGGGCACCTTTGTGCAGCAAGATGGTCCTGGAAGCGTGCCACAGTATCTTCACAAGCAGGAAAACGGGCAATGGCGGAAGAAGTATTTGGAGGCCATGATGACGCGCCATGTTGTCAGCATGGGGCAAACGGAGTCACAGCAAGAGCGAGAAGATGCCTTGAAGCAGGGCAAGGCTGTTTCCACAGTGATAGGCACTCGTGCCATGGGCACTGGTTTCAACCGGCTCATGACCATCCAGATTCCCATGAAGAAGCAGGAACGGGCACCTTCCCCTTTTGCCTTCAGCGACTTCGACAGCTTTGGCAGCGCTGCTCCTCTTGGCGGCTACGGCATGGGTGGGTGCTTCGGCGCGAGCGACCCGCCAGCTGCCTGGGCCTGTGCCCAGGCGGCACCCGCCAGCATGGCTTCCGACCTCTTTGGGGGCTCGGCGCCCGCGAGCATGGCGAGCGGCAAGTCCGCTCTCTTCGCGGCCCCGGCGCGCGAGGCCTCGGCCTACGCGGCCCGCGTGTCCACCGGCTCCGATGCGGGGCCCATGGAGCAGCTGAAGATGACCCGCTTCCAGCGCGACGACGCGTCCTCCATCACCATCACCGTGCAGTTCTACTTCGTGGTGGAGAAAGGCTGCGCCATCAAGGAGGCCGACATCACGCGGGCCATCGATGTCTGCGAGGAGGCGTACAAGGGCTGTTCCTGGGACGGCCATCTCATGGATCCCAGCCTGCAGGCGGCCTTCGCCAAGAAGGATCTCACTTTGGGAGAGAGCAAGCAGATTTCCAGCTTCGACCCGCTCTTAAACTCGACTCTGAACTTCCCAAGCACGTCGGCAAACACGTGGCAGCCAGCACCCATCGTGAAGCGATGGCCGGATCCTCCCAAGGCGCTGAGCAGTGCATTCGATGTCCTTCATGGCCTGGATAGTGAACTGAGGGCCTTGATTGCATCAGTACCAGCTCATCAAGATGGCTACGCTTGGCTCCATCAGACAGCCCTGGACTTGCTAAGCAAGAAGGAAGACCTGGATTCGGCTTATCACCTGTTTCGGCTGGCCAATGACCTTCATGTCCAAATGCGCGGCAAGCCGGATGGGATGTGCCTCTACAATATGTCTTGTTGCCAAACCGTCGCTGTGTCCTTGCAGATCGAGAAATATCGGAGCCTTTACCCTTCGGCATCATGTTTGGCTAGTTGCACTGGATGCGCAGCAGCAGCAGGCAGGTCAGCACAACAGCACCAAGTGTTTCCTGATCATGGCCAGTTTGTCGGACATGTTATGTTTGTGCATGTCATCGTAGGCCATCATCTTGTTATAACATCGTGCATGACATGTACGATTCATTGTGTTTCAACGCTTAGGGCAACCTTCAATACAACGCCTTTGGCGTGTTGCGGCCATGCGAGGTGGGCTGGTTGCGCCCAGGATGCCTCCAACTGAAGGAATGACGGTGGCGGCTCTTTGCGAGTCCCGCTTGGATGCTGCATTGACAACACTGGCGGCCGCGATCGGTGCGGGCTGGCGGCAGCACGGGCACATGCTGTCGGACGCAGCCTCAGTGGTTGCGTTTTGCGTAGGATTCAAGTCTAGGAGCTTTCATGTTCCCTTGCTGAACGGGCTATGAACTTGCCTGCAACTTCTTGCCCGCGGTTTTGCTTCCATGTTTCTCTCTCTCTCTCTCTCTCGCGTCTAGGACCCCGACCTGAAGGCGCTCCAAGAGCTCCGGAGGCCGCAGTTCGATACGCTGGTGCAGCTGGCCAAATCGCTCTAGAACGAGCCGAGTCGGCAACACAGCCTTTTCTTTGGCGTTTCATTCCGTGGGTTCCGCAGGTTGTACAGCTGCCATGTCGAAACCCACGTAAGTTGAGGCACGAAAAGGCCGTGTCCACTTCAAGCAGGCCTTCCGGTGAAACTGTTGTGATTGCCTTTAGGAATGTCAATGTCTTGAATCTGCAATGAAAGCAGTACTCTTCCACTCTTAAATGTAACCCACTCACATTGTTTATAAGGCTCAGAGGACTGTACCACATGTCACAAGGGTGGCGTCTGCTATTAGGGTTGCATCAAAGGTCCCAATGAGATTCTCAGGCTCCAAGTGTGTGGGACTTATGCATGTGGAATAGCTGAACGGCAGGTCAAGCCAAAGTCCAAGCCAGCTCAACTGCAAACACACTTCACTAGCAGACCTCTTTTGCATTCGTCTCTCAAAAAACAGATTGAGGAATTGACTCGGCTGATGGTACTAGAGGATGACATCCACCTGGACCAAATTTCTGCACCTGAACCCACAGGGCTGGATACAATCGGGCGGTTTTGTGAGGTGCGGATGCAAGCTGAGCTTCAGGTGTGCACCAGTCTGGCTTCTGCAGCACATCACAGCTCAGAAAAGTGGAAATTGAGTAGTTTGCATCATGGATCTATGGATCCTTTGCCTCGTCGCTTCTCTGACAAGCTGTCTAGGAGCTGAACCTAGGCAGGGTGTTTGCTTGGGTGCTGGTGCATTCCCATGTGAAAGCTTATGACTCCTGAGTGCAGAGGCCAGCGGCATTGTGGGCAAGCCTGAAGTGGAACAAGTCTGGTGAGGATGTGGGACCTGTGTACGCTTCTATGGGAGGTGACGATCCTGCGTCAGGGAAAGACTGGAAGTCAAAGCCGCATCAGCAGGTCAGCGCGTGGAACAAGAGCATGCATCACACTTATCACTCCTACATCCCGGAGAAGTATCAGGCACTGCCCTCAAAGGCGACGGAGATTCGGACAAAGTCAGCTGGCAACGGGCATGAGAAGAATTTCACAGAGTACACCAAGAGCTATGGTGGACTTGCCAAAGTTGCCATGCAGGGTGCCAAGCGAGACGCTAAACGGCAGAGCACACCCAAGGACAAGGACTCGGATGGTGCTGACTACGAGCAGTATCTACCGCCATCTGGGAAGAACGGGCAGCAGGGCGGTTCGTTCATTCCCGACTACAAGCAGTTCACTGAACATGCCAACTCTGGATCTGCCAAGCGAGATGCTGGACAGAGGACCGCAGATGCCGAACCAGAGAAAAAGCGGAGCATACCCACGCACTCGGACGGTGCTGACTACAAGAAGTACTTGCCGTCATTTGGTGAAGGCAAGCAGCAGGGCGCTTCGTTCATTCCCAACTACAAGCAGTTCTCTGATACTGACAACTCTGGATCTGCCAAGCGAGACGCTGGACAGTTGACAGCAGATGCGGAACCAGAGAAGAAGCAGAGCATACCCGCACACTCGGATGGTGCTGACTACGATAAATTTTTGCAGTCATTCGGCGAAGGCAAGCAGCAGGGTGGTTCTTTCATTCCTCACTACAAGCAGCTCTCTGATACTCCCAACTCTGAATCGAGTTCGCAGAGTTTCTTTCCGTTTGCGTGCGGACCTAAGCTGCTGTGTCGAGTCAGGAAGTGGACTGCAGCTTGATTCCGGTCTGTGTGACAATCCCCAGGAGTGGCAAACAGCTGCCCGTGCCCTCGATGCCTTGGCAGCTTGTGGAGTCTCCGCGCTTTGGCCGCACCGATTGTCTGTAAACGCCCGCCGGCCCCGATCGCCCTGCGCACGCTCCCACGAACATGGCACCTGACAGGGCTCCCTACAGGAAATTATCTTCAAGGTCCCTCCCGCAGGTGCTATCTTAGTGGAGGAGGGGGTATCCAGAAAAGACTGGGGAGCACAGCCAACTTAGAACACCCACAGGCAAAAAGCAAGTTCTACTGGTCCGGCGCGATGTCGCCACCTCTCAGGCATGTGCTGAGATAGGGCAAGGTTTGATGAGCCTTGCAGAATGACTTGGTGAGTATCTTCATTCGGCTAGCCGCCAAGGACTTCCTTGCAACTGGCTTGAAGGGTGTAATTTTGACCATGTAGCGGCATGCGCCCAGAACTTCATTCCAGCAGAGCAGAAGAGTCCTCCCAGCAAGGCGCGCAGCGCTTGCATACGGCGTATTTGCGCTCAGCTTGAGCACATGCAAAGACAACAGGCTGCCAGAAACTAGAAACTCTTGGAAAGGCAAGTGGCTGCCTCGTGTAGAGCACTTCAAGGAACACTCAATCCACAGCTTGAAGTGTCCATGGTGCTCCTGGAACAGCGACCAAGCCTCGCGTGTGTACTGCGAAGTCATAGCACTGCGTTGCTTGCCCGATTTTGAAGCCGGAATTGTTAAGTGAGCGAGCGTTTGTTTGCCGCAAGCTAATTTAGTAGGGAGAGGGACATTATTATTGAACATGTGCGCCCCACGCGCGGAAGTATGCGGAAGGTTTTGCGGAAGTGGTTTCTTTCGCGGAAGGTTTGTGGAAGCTTTGTGGCTGATAGGAAATTCATTGTTTCAGCTTGCGTGCTTGTTCACCACGGAGAAACAAATACCGTAGAAGCCGAGAGGTGTTGCTTACAAGGAACGCAACGCTTACTAGAAGAGCAGTTGCCAACAGCAAGCCAAGAAGACCAAGACAGTCTGCGGTTTTCGTCGAAGGTTTGCGGAAGGTTCGCGGAAGCTCCGCGGAAGGGTGGCCCCGTGCTTGCAGGCAAGTGCCCCCGTAGCCGTAGCATGGGTAGCCTATTGGAGCCCAAGGCTACACGGGCTGCGACGAAGCACTATTTTCCTTCCTTACTCAAATTCCTTTCTGCGCCAACACTCGCGGAAACAAATTTTGCAAAGCATGCACCGCGGAAGGTTTGCAGAAGCAAGCAATGAACCACGTGTGCCGTGGAAGTTCGTGGAAGGGACCTGTTGGCCCGCGGCAAGGATGCGGAAGGATCCGCGGAAGCTTGGATCAAGTCTGCAGGGATAACAACTAACGCTCAAGTGTAAAGAAAATTGGTGCGTTGCCAGATTCGCAACATTTGTCTGGAACCTCATCAACCCTTTCGCTCTAAAGCTTCCCTGAAACCCTCCTAACCCCCCCGCCGGCCCCGGAAAAAAAAATAGAGACAAAAGCACTGAGGAGTGTGCAGAAAGCCACAAGACCATGCGGGCTAGGGGTTTGCGGTAAGCGCTTGCTTACAGCTTTGCAAGTGTTTGTGGCAATTTATGATGTGAACACATCGCTGGGCTATCCCAAGGCCTCGAGCTCCCAAGCCCGGGTTTCTCGCGTCAAACTCCGTGCCACTGGCGGACATGGCTCCCTGGTTGCACGGATGGAAGTATGTTCAGGTGGTAGTGCCTTGCATGTGCAACTGGATGTGTGTTTTGTTGGGGAACCCTCTTTGGGTTGGTTTCAAAGGGCGCCAAACAAACACCACATTGTTTAAATCTGTTTTTTTCTATTGGGGGCAACTGGAGGGAGGCACTTTGTATGGACGGATGAGAAGTTGACGCAAGGTGCCGCAGGAGTGGCGCTTGCCGACTCTGTGACTTGGACCAGCTAGGTGTTTTTCTGCATTTTGGGGGATTTTGACGCATGCCCGCAACACCCGGCGTTTCATGTTCGAAGGCTGGCAAGTGTCGCCTTGACTGCAACAGTCGTCTGAGCCTGAGCATTTACACTTCTCTTATTTCATGCTGGCGGGATGCTTGTACATGAACAGTCTCTTAGCAAAAAAACGTTTTGGCAGTGCTTGTAGTTGTGTGTTTGTGTGTGCCCCCTTTCCAAGATGCTTTTCGGTTGTTGAAAGCGTTGTAGCTTCCATCCTCATCAGGCATGCGGGGTGTATGCGTTTGACAAGTACCGGAGGCGCGAGCTGCTTGTCATTGTGCTGCCGTCTTCCTTGCTCAGTTGCCCAGGACAGTTCGCCCTCCAGAGAGCCTTCTGGGATGAACCGGCCGCAACGTAGGAGGGAGGCACAGCTGACTTTAATTCAGCAGCGTGAGATGGTGGCAGCATTGGTTGCCTCCTCATGCAGATGCGCCTGTGCTATCATTTGAACTCGAGCGTGACATTTTGCGTCACAAGCCACTGAGCCTTGCAAGCTCTTGGAACAGTTTATTGATGGTATTTACAAGTCCTGTCAGTTGCGTCCCTGTGTGCAGAGCAAATCAGAAGCTCCTTTGGTTCCACCAACTGAGAGGACTCACCGGACTTTTGGACAGGGTGCTCAGACAAAAGCGAATCTTGTACAGCCATCCTTTGTACAGCTGGCACTCTGGAAGCTCCCCAATGCTTTCGCCTCGCGAGAGCAAGCAAAAATGGACATGCAGCCACATCTGAGGGCAGTTGAGAGGTGCTTTGCAAAGATGCTAGCTTCGCGGAAGGACTTGGCCCTTTTGCGCGACGGGAGGCCCTGCGGTTTGCATCGCCAGATTTGGTGTGCGACGGAGCTGCAGGCCGCGGGCACAGGACGACCTGGCTCCCTTCGCCGAGCGGCTGGCGGTGCTGGAAGAGAAGGTCCAAGCGTGTAACCAGCACGTGGTGGAAAGCAGCGACTTCTTCGCCAAGGCAAACCGCTGTTGCCACGTTTTGTCACAAGAGTCCTTGTTGGATCGGATGTGAGAACCGTCTCCAACCGACGTGGCTGAGAGAAACCACTCGCAGGCCGTGGCGGAGGTTTCTGGCAGTGTGGCCCAGCTCACAGAGGACGTGGGCACCTTGGAGACCACGGTGCTCGCGCAGGCGCGAGCGAGACAGCACGCAGGAAGCAGAACGGACGTGTTTAGAGTCCCTCAGGAGCCAAGGCCAGAGACATCTACAAGGGATGCCGACGCCTTAGCGACCTGACAACAAAAGCTCAGGTTTTCGAAAAGAGTCCCACAGCCCAGTACTGCAGTGTGATGTGCAGATTCTGGAGGTAGATGATGGTGCTGGCTGGCTCAAAGTTGGCTGGAATACAGATCGGGCCCGCCACTCTCACCCCTTTTGAGCCATGGAGCTGACCTCAGTGGCCGATCCCCCTGTGGCGAAAAGCGAGAATGTGGAGATCGATGAGATCAAAAGCTCCGACAAGAAGCCAATTGAGGCGCCAGAAGAGGAGCGTGAGCCCAGCACGATCATCTTGTTTTGGCTGTGCTGTGTGAGTGCACTGGAAGGGCTGGACACGCAGCTGGTGCCAGCCTGCCAGTTTGCCCTGCAGCGGGACCTCGGGCTGCAACTGGGGCATTTTGCAGTGCTCACCACCGTGCAGATGGTCCTGACGAACCTGGCTGCCCCGTTTTGGGGTATCCTGGCGGATCGCGGCACGCTCCAGAAGAAGACCATCTTGACACTCGGATCTCTCGGCGAAGCGCTGGCGGTCGCCATCTTCGCCTTCGTGCCCAACTTCTACGTCATGATCGTCCTGCGAGGCATGAGCGGCTTCTTCCTCGCCTCGTTGCGGCCTGTGTGCAACGGTCTCATTGCGGATCTCACGAGCGACAACAGGCGTGGAAAGATCTTTGGGAGGGTGCAAAGCGCATTGCTTTGCGGTATGTTCTGCTCTCTGCTCATCGCTGGAAACGTGGCGAACACTCACGTTGACACCATCCCAGGCTGGCGCTTCCTCTTTGCAGGCGCTGGTGCGGTGGCCTTCATCGTGGCTGCCGGCCTGAAAGTTTTCTTGGTGGAGCCGGCGCATCAGCTGGACACTTCTGCGGACAAGAAGGGCTGCGCTGCGGTGGGTGCGGAGCTGTGCACGGTCCTGAGCTTCCTGAAGATCCCCACCTTCTGCGTGATGATCATGCAAGGGGTCTTCGGCACCATCCCCTGGAGCGTCATGGGCAACAACCTGCTGTACTTCAAGTTCTGCGGCTTGCAGGACTGGGAGGCCTCCATCCTGGCGGCTGAGGGAACCATCGCCGGGATCTTCGGCAACACCATGGGGGGCATGATCGCGGACTGCCTGGCCCGGCGCTTCGGCTACCATGGGAGGCCTCTCAGCGCCCAGATCACCGTGGCCATCGGCATCCCCATGGCGCCCGAGTTGCCAATGAGGGAAACATGACGGCTGTGTCCAAGTTTTTTGAGGTCGGCCATTAAAGGGACAAGGGAAAACCCGCATTTTTGGGGTCCCCCCAAAAAAGGACACCCAAACTGGACCCCCCTCAACATCTCCGCATTCAAGCCCAGGTCTTCTTCCAGTTCTACGGCATCCCTCCTGGAGAGGGTTCCTTCGCTGCCTACTTCGCGCTCATCGCCGGCTTTGGGCTGTTGGGCTCTTGGGCGCAGTCAGGCACCAACTTCCCCATTCTGTCAGACATCGTGCCAGCGAGTGACCGCAGCAAGGCCGCTTGGCATGACCGGGACAAGAGATCCGTATCGGAGACGTTTCTTCTGACGGTATTTTTTGCAGCATCAACACAGAAGCGCAGAAACAGAGAGACGCGGGAATACAGAAACACGGAAACGCTGAAACACAAAACATACATCTAGGGGAACAAGAAAGCACACGGGCTCGGAGAACTCAGAAACAGAGAGACAAAGAAACATGCAAACACCCAAACCCAAAAACGTAGAACTACACAAGCGCAAAGACCCACTTCAATACCCCAAGGATTTGGTTGAGTACATTCGTGTACGCCATGCAAGAGAGGTTGGTCCTTGTGAAGCAACAGCGTAACGCACAACACAAAGCGACTCTGTGCAGGTACGTCACCAGGCGTCCCTGGTTATATATTTTGAGGCCGCTGTGGAGAGCTTTGTTAGATGGAGCTCCACAGGCCTGCTCCATCCCCCTGCGTGTCCCAGGTCCCAGGGTAGATCTGGGACTCGGCACACACACAGGCCTTCCACCACAAACCCACCACAGAAACATCAACCATAGAACGCCCAAGCAAAGAAGCACCCAACCACAAAAGTACACAAACACAGAAGCCCGCAGTGGAAGAACAAACAGGCAAAACGCTGCGCGCACACACACGCACACACACACACACGCGCAAACGCCTACACAAAACCACAAGCACAAACACAAACACAAGCACGCGCGAGCACACACATTCTCACATGCCAGCAAACATCATGAACATCTAGCACACCCTTCGACAAGCTGAACGCGCACATCCGTCTCATGAGCAACACCGCTCAAGGGCTCCAGTATGCCCAATATACCTGTTCGTGAGAATAATACTGATGATGATGATGATGGTGGTGGCGATGATGATGATGATGATGATGATGATGATGATGATGATGATGATGATGATGATGATGATGATGATGATGATTTGAATATCAACATTCATAACAATATCTAGAATGATGATGACAATGCTGCTACTCTGCTACTACTACTACTACTACTACTACTACCACTACTGCTTCTGCTACTGCTACTGCTACTGCTACTGCTACTGCTACTACTACCACCGCCACCACCGCTAGCGCTACCAGCCAGTACCACTACCACAACCCCTACCCCCTACCGCTACCCCTGCCCCTACCACTACCAATACCACTAGCGTACTTGCTCATCATGATTTGGGAACCTTCGGACGCCCTTTGACGTGGGGGCCTCTGGAGGTCATGGCGTGGGAGTGTGCCATGGAGAACAGTTTGGCCAACGCCATTGGGCCGTTTTTGGTGTCCACCTTGGCCGTGGCCTTCGGCTACAAGTTCGGCTCGGAGGAGAATTCTGGGGCAGTCGGTGGTCTGGTTGGTTAAAACGGGTTCGTTGTCAGGGGCTTTGGGGTAAGTGGGCATGGAAGAAGTTTTGCACGGGTCTCGGGCGCCTTGGGTAGGAATCGTGTTGCGATGGATGAACGCAGAAGGGACGTTTTCCCCAGCATGCCCTGGTTTGGTTGTTTGGCTTCCCCTTTTCCTAGTTGACCTGAGTGCATGCTGCCATTGTTTTGCTGTTAGGCAGCGAACCTTTGCATCTTAGCCCTTGCCGGCGGTTCGAGCCCGAAACCAACCCTCTACCAGCCCACACAAACACGACTTCAACAAATCCAAATGAAGCTTTCACGCAGGCTGCCCCAACTCTTACTTTCGCACTGTCCGCAACCCAAGTTACGTCTCCTGAAGCCCAAAGAAGCCCCAGCAAACCCAACTGACCTTGAGAACAACTCTGACACCAGCCGATTGACGTGTATATGTATATATGTGCGTTTATGTGTGTGTGCGTTTATGTGTGTGTGTGTGTGGGGGGCGTGATGACGTGCAGCTCTGAGGAGATGAACGGGCAGTCGCTGTCCTCCGCCCGGGCGCTTGGTACGGCCGCCACCTCAGGGCGTTTCGTTGATGGGCACCGGCCACGTAAGACCGGTTTCTCAGGCCATGGCGGCCACAATCTGTATTCCTTGGGTGATTACTCTGGTGGCCGCGGGCTCAGGACGTTGCTTCTGCCTCGTGTTTTGTTTTCCCCATTCTTTTGGCATTTTTGTGTCTTCTTCGGTTAAACGTTGCATGGCGCCCCGATCCAAGCAAAGCAAAGAGGTTGATAAGCTTCACTGGTGCCAGGCCTACACCCTCCTCCACTGGAGCTACCCCCGAGACATGCGACGGCTGCGTGCAAAGCAGGCGGCCGCGGCTGCTGCGCAAGAGCAGGCGGGGCCTTGATGCGAGTTGTTGGTGGAGCTGTCCGAGCAAATCCTGCGAGACTTGCGAGGGTACCTTTGAATCTTGCGGAGGCTGTGTGAGCGGTGCAGCACGTCTTCCACACCGGCTGGCTTCGTCGCAAAGGCGCGCTTGCCTGGATATGAGCAGGGCAACCAGCAGCAAGTCGCCACAACAAGGGGGGGGGGCATTTTTTGACAATCGCCTTTGGCGCTGGAACACTCCTGTGTTGGCATTTGTGGGGCTGCTTGCACTATTCTTCCTGAAGCGCTGACTGCGCAGGCATGCATGGGACGTACGTCAGTCATTTGACAGACCGTCAAATTTAAGCCGAATTCAGTAGACGCCGGCTTGAAGCAACCTGTGATGCTGGTCATTGCTTCTAGACATTCCAAACTGAGACAGACGTTGCTTCGAGCTGTGCGTGTTCTCATTTGCAAGTCTGGCGTTGATGATAGCCTCACAAGTCAGGATGCTAGCATTCCACGCTAACTCAACCATCCCAGCAGTTTCCAGGCAACATGAGCCCAAACCCAAACCTGGCTAAGTGGACTGAGTGGGGGGGACCCAAAAGACAAGCGACCATCTTGGTATTTCCTTCTATTGTTCTGGCTAGGCTCCTCTGATAGCAGGTTTTGGTTGGGGGTCACGATGCGATTCGCCGAAATGCGAGTGCACTTGGTGTCAGGGAAGGCTGGATGGCGGCAATACATGGTTGTTGGCTTCGTGATGATGCCAGATGACCCTGGAAGTTTTGGTTTTGGGCATTCGGGGACGAGCTTGCTTTGAAAGCAGCCGCTCTGACCGCTCTACCTCTTCGACTTGTTTGATTTCCGACGTTGCCGCCTTACAGCAGGAAAAAAGGCGGCCATTATGATGTGCATCAGAATCATGAGTTGGCTTGCCACCATTCCCTGCACATCAGGTCATGAGGAGGTCAATTCGACCTGACAGTACGAGGCTGTATGGTCCTGGTGTCACTTTTCCATACAGCACAGGCATGGCTAGCAGGGACATGTGAGACAGAGTTGCAGGACTAGGGAAGCTGCGAGCAGCGCAGTAGACCCCACGTCGGCCTCGGGGAAGATGCAGGAGGATCCATAGCTGGGATGTTCTGGGCTGGATTTAGAGCCTGCGAACAGTCCAGGATGCTTCCTCGAGCTTGAAGCACAAGATACAGCCTGGCCGAGCACTTAAATGGATCCTCTCCGGCATACGCTCAGATGGACTTAGGCAAATCGCAGGGTCGGCTTGGAGGCGCGCACCCCCCTCCCCCCCCACACAGCGCTGTGTGGTTGTTGCCTCGCAGGCAGACGGATCCCAGTGAGATGAGAAAGCTTCGGAAGCCTAGTGTGTGGTAACACCACGCCTTTGCTTCGCATTGCTGGACTGGGCGAATAGCCAGGTCTCAGCGCAGCTTGTTAGGCGGCAATACTCCGCCATGCTGTGTGCACTGCACGCGATGCGCACAAGTCAATGCGAAGTTTAGCTGCCAAAGATGGGATGGAGTCACTCCCAACAGCAGCTTGCTCGGAAGAAGAAGTGTAAAGAGGGCGAAGGGTAAGGAGGCAGCACGGGGGCGATTGCAATTGCAAGCTTCCTCTTCATTGAGTGTTTGCCTCGTCCTTAAGCACCTTCGCAGGTTGACATGGAGCTCGGAGAGGGCATTGTCGTGCCCATCTCTGTGAATGAAGACACCAATTTGCAGGCAGGGCGATTCGTGTGCATTCGACTGGGTACACATGCCCAACCCGGAGTAATAGGCTGCTGCTGTCGAAGTGGCGTGCCAACCTTACGACGTGCATGTCAGATTTGGTGGGTTATTGGCTACCTTGCCAATGTTCACAACAAAAACAACATTCGGCGTAGGTAGATGTCGACGCACAGTCATCGTACAAAGGCTCTGTTGGCATGCACATTTTTGACGCCCAGGCAGACTCACGGCCTGAGCAAGGTCGAGCAGCGTCGCATAGTCAAGTTTTTGCAGCGGCTGCGGGATCAAGTCGAAAAGCAAACCTCTTGCCCTGCCAATGCGTGGACCGGCTCTGGAACAAGCTAAACTTGAAGTGGCTGTGCAACACTTGAACCACGATCGTAGCCTGGATAGACGAAGGCCAGGGGACGTTAACCATGAATGGATGTGCCACCCTTTGTTTCTATTTTTACTAAGGATTGGTTAGATCCTTCAATATTAGGTATGCTTATACCTTGCTCCGGTTGTTCAAACACGACTTTTGCTCGGCGCCTGCGACTTGCTATCAGCCTGTTTCAGAGCTGTTTTCAGCTTTGGGGAGGGCCGAGTCCCCCTGCCTCCATGGCGAAGGCGAGAAGTCTCAAGCTGGTAGAGACTGCTCTTTTGTGGCAGACATGGATTGTGCCCACCATTGCGGGTGTTGAGTGCGCGCAGAGCGAGTCTTGGCCCGGCAGGACAACTCCACTTGGATGGCTCCAGCTGCTCCGACCTTGAAGCCCTCGCAACCTTTCAGCCTTGGGGGTGCAAGTGGCGTGGTAGAGCTGAGAAAAAGGGTTTGGACATGCGACCTGAGTTTTTACTATCAGCTGCTTCAAAGAGGGGAAGCCTTGAGGTGCCTGCCTTGCGGCCTCGCCGTCTGCGTTTGCAGCTCAGCCACACTCGAGCTATGCCTTTGCGTCGCTCGCGGGCGAGGCAGCTTTGCGCTGGCCGTCCTCCTAGCAGTGGTCGCTCTCTCAACGGTATGGCCCGAGCCGGAACGCAAGGGGCCCAGGTTTCCAAAGGGATGGCTCAGCGCGCCTAAGACCCGCCTCAAGGATAATAAACGCCAGCCTTGTATTTGCCATTTGAGAGATTTCACGCGATGTTCAGTCCAGGCGGTTGCTCCTTCGCGGAAGCTGCTACGGAAGAAGTAGTAAGGAGAAGGAGGAGGAATCCACCGAGGAAAAAGGCGACATGCATCCTTCTCAAGGACGGCATAGTTGTTCTTTACTGCTTGACAAGAGACATGTGGAAGTCTAGGTGACTCTTAAGGTTGCATCCCTGCGAGGACTACCCATCGCTGGGGAAGAAAGGGTCTAAAGTCAGCGCGGGGGTCTTCTTGATGGCAACAGTCATCAGTGTTGTATCCTCACTTTTGCAATCCAGACTCCCGCTCACGAGGTCAAACGAGGCTACTACCGTAAATGGCTCTTTCCAGAGGGCATTGCCATCAAGGAGAGGGCAAGTGTTCTCAAGGCGACAGGGACTTAGCCCCGGTTGCGGAGCTGTCAAAGGACCAATCTGCTCTCTCTCTCTCTCTCTCTCTCTCTCTCTCCCTGACTGAGGGCACAGCAGGAACAAGAAGTTCGCAAGAAGAAAAAATCGGCAGAGCCCCTCGGCACTGTTAATGTCCAACGGACTTTCAGAAGACTGTGCTTTAATTGCGCATACTATCAGCATGGAATCAACATGTGTTGGCGTAGGTGGTACAAGGTGTTTTTGTTTAATGCCAACCGTAGGATCCGTTTTTTGTTTTCTTGTTTTTTTCTAATAGGGCTGGTCCTCTGGTCCCCTCTGGTTGGTTGGTTGGGTTGGGTTGGGTTGGGTTGGGTTGGGTTGGGTTGGGTTGGGTTGGTTGGTTGGTCCCCGGCATCACCAGCCTCACTTGGCCCTGGGACCGCTTGTTGGCTCTGATTTCGTGGCAGCTGGGAGTTGCTAGGGGGGCTTCTTCGCCACACCTAAAGGCAACCTAAAGCCGCTGCCAAACCAGCAACACACCGAGCACGATTCAGCTCCAACCCAAACCCACTCAACGTCAACCCTAAACCCGCCCGACAGCCTGGATGTCAGCCCTTCGGTTCCTAAATCCCCCCCAGCAACTCCAGGTTCAAGTGATGCTGGTGATGCTGGGGATGTTGCCAGCCCAGGAAAAAAACCAGCCCCAGGAAAAAACACCAGCCCTGGAAAAATGCTGCAACTGCATTCCAGCGCTCCAAGGCGGGCCGTGGCAATGGAGCAGAAAGAGAAGATTGAAGCCCACGGGACGTTACGATCTCAAGCATGCACGCAGGGTGCAGCTACTTTAGCTTGCTGTTTCTTTGCACATGTCGTTTTTGTTGTTTTTTTCAATAAATAATAACGGCGCTGAGGTATGTGTTTGAAAAGAAGGTCCGCTCTGATGGCAAAAGCATTTATGGCTCCCTCTCTGAGATCAACGTGGCTGAGGACACTCTTTCTGAACATGAGCTCCGTTGTGTGTTTGCCTGCAAGACATGTGGTATCATGGCTTCTTTGAGCGTGATTGTATCAGGGGCACTCCATGTTCATTGGTGCGGTAAACAACGCGCCTGAAGAGTAGCGACGCTTGAAATCCAACATGCACGCTGTTGAATCTAAGAGCCATTTTCATCATGATGAAAGACAACGATTGGGCACAGGTGGTGACAGCTGCAAGCCGAGAACGAGAGTTTGGGCCTATTTCAATCGTCCCTGTATGACTTCTCTTTTCGCAAAACCCATCTCTGCCTGGGCTTTTGTCACGTTGAACCTCGAAGCCTGACTTCTAGCTGTGGGCTTTGAGTTGCTGGGGCGAGTGGGGCGCGGAGGGCGTTTCTTGATGAAACCAGGCTGCAGGCCAAGCGAGATAAAGCCAACGGTGTCTCGGCGGTTTGCCCAAGCGCACGATCAGTCGACAGCTGCAAGTGGCAGGAGGTTTGCGAGAGATGGCCGAAGAAGAGCTGCTACACGCGAAGTCGTAAGAAGGCATCTGCTGCTTGGGCGCTACAGGAAGACATTCTTGCCACACGGTCCACTCGCTGGCGCTAAGCACGAGGGCTTCGCCATCGTGCGCACTTGTGACCGGGCTGTGCTGCAATTGAATGCTCGCGGGTGCAGCGAACACCCGCGCAGTGAACAAACGGCTCCATGAAATGGTTTGTGCAAGGGATTCTGGGCCCATTCTGTGCCCCTAGGTACGAGCAACCCTGTAGAAGGCGCGCAGCTGACAAGCGAAGCAGGTTTAAACTTCCAAACGCGAAGCACCCAAACATCAAGTCTGACCGGAAATCGCAGACAAATGGCTCTGTGACAGGCTTTGCCACAGGGACTCCGAATCCATTCTGTGCCATCGGAAGCACGATTGGCCTCTGGCGTTTGTGACAACCCTTTGCGTGTGGCGCGCGCATGTAAAACTCAAGGCTGGATCTTGAGCCAGCTGATGCGTTGTTGTTGGCTGCTTCGGCTCTTGCAATGAGTGTCATGACCTCACCGTGGCTCGCCTTGCCGTTGAACGGCATAGATACCACCCATTGGGATCCGTGTCCCAGTTTAGGAACTTGCAAGTGAGGAGCCCCTTAAGACAACTCCCAGACATCCTGTAGGCAACCAATAGAACCACTCCAAACAGAAAATAACTGGCTGGTCGCCTATAGTAGCCAGGATCCACCGAGGGAATAAGTGGGTCTGCGTTCGCAAGGTGGGGCGTTTTGTGCAGCGCTATTCAACACCCACCCTTTTGCTTGGTGACGCGACCTGATAACGTGGGCTGCGTATTACTCGAGCGACTCTGCGCATTTACGTTTGACTTCGAAGGAGAGGGGTTGGATATGTGGGTCTGTCCAGTACTCATTTTGGGACTTTGTTTTAAATGCAAACCAAAAGGAATGCATCCACTTTGGAGGTTCCCCCCCCCCCCCCATTTTTCCTTTCAGGCACGCTTCCATGAGATGCTTTACACAAGGCATTCAGGCACACCATGTGACACATTTTGGTGGGCTTTCCGCGGATTTGATCATTGGTCCTCATGCCCACCTTGTTTGTCGCAGCTTGCGATATTTCTTTTGTTGCGTGCTCAAGCTTGCTTAGCACATGTGACGGTTGCTTGCCGCATTGCCTGTGAGGAGATTGTGAAGGCCGTAGAGCTTCCCGTGCGACGGGCCTCCATCAGCATCCCTAAGGCGCTGCTTGGTTGTGCGCTTCGCGTGAGGCGATGCGCGTCAGGTTACCTCCGTGGGGAATTTCAAGGGCACCATTGAGCTGGCTCCCGACATCTCCGCAACGATTGACATCAAGGCCGGGCGAAGGGTGGTGCAGCCACACCCTAGGCATGTGTCACGATTGCTCTTCGGGATTCTGTTCATAGTCTAGTTTGAATCAAGTGCTGGCAAGCAAACGAGGGAGCACTTCACTGGATTCGACGCTGCGAGCTGCTTGCAGGGTTTGACGTTTCGTGAAGAGATTTTAGGGAGTCACCTCGGTCCCTCCAACAGCATCCCATAAATAGCCCTTGACTTTGTATGTTGTGCTTTCCAGCTACCCTCAGGGCTTGGAGGAGAAAGCCGAGTTAGACATCCGCAGGTCGTCAAAGAAGGCGGCGTTGACGATGAGGGCGAGGAGGCCGAGGTGCGCAGGAGGAGGTGTTTAGGTTGGCAAATCATTCAGACATGGTCATGGCAAATCATTTTGTCGCATACAGAAGCAGAGCTTCACAGAACACTATGATATGTTTGCAGAAGCCTTGGGATCCCGTCCGTGATTCAGCGCTGCTTATCAATTGCAGGAAAGCGAATAAGCAGGCGCACGTGTTGTGCCATTGCGAGCCAGCATGATGGCGTTTGCAGTGCCATTCGATTCAGAGCACGATATTGTTTCAGGAGCCTCTTTCAGCACGATCTGAGCGCAGCGGCATCTTAACCACACATTGCAAAGGAATACACTTATTCTCAGCGGGAGATGGCAAACACACCAGAGCTGCAATAGTCCTTTTTTCCGACTGATGTACCCCTCATGGTGCGCTGTCGGCTTGTTGCGCGCGAGAAAGTCTGGCTTGTTTGCAGAGGATTTGCAGAGGCATGCACTTGCAAGTGCACGGCGTTGAAGGGACACTCTTCAAGTCATACCCAAAAAATTGCTCCAGGCTGAAATGTATCTAATGCAAATCTCAGCCAGCTCAAGGCCTATTTATGTTGGCCCACACGCTTGCTGCCAAACCAGAAGAGCAACCCTGAAGCAATTCTGAGCATGTCGTGCACATGTCATTCTGAGCGAGCATCCCAATGTTTGAAATCTAGCCGCCATGGCAGAGGCTGAATGCGCAGTTGGAGTCCAAGCTAGCATCATTTGCCACAGATCTTTAAGGTGAAGGGCTTGGACTTTACAGGGACGGGGCTCGTTGAGCACCACGTTGCCCCGGTGGCGGTCGCCTTTGTGTCGAGGTGCCTGACGCCCTGGCCGGCGAACTTAGCCGCTGGCGGCGTGAGGACAGGATGCCCCCGAAAAATACGGGATGGGCGGTGAATTGACCAGGTGTGTGGCACCTGCGGCACCAGCGCAATGTTCTACTGTCCTTACTGTTGCCTGGAGCTTGTCTGATTTCGAGTCGTGCCCGGATGATTTCAGGTTGGGCAGGGCTTTCAGGGAGGGTTTAGAGGTTGCGTTTGAGGGCTCGCCCAAGGCAAAGCGACCCTTGACCCGAGTGTCACCTTCGCTGGGCAGAACAGGTCCGTTGGATCCGTTCCACTTGCAAAAAACCGGCAACAGCAAAAAGCAAGTCCCGAACCTACGCAAAGCGTGTCTAGTGCAGCTGAATTCGTCATTGTAATAAGGATGAGGCAAACCTAGATAGGCCATAGGTGGTTGGTGGGTTTTGGACGGCAAGACGATCACTGGTAGAGATGCCCACTAGAGATGGTGCAGACGAGCTAGCATTCTTGTTCAGCCAAAATGCAGCCAAATACTGGTGGGAACAAGTCTGAAATTGGTCTGCATTGCACAAAGCCTGACATCCTACAATAGCTACCAGAAGGTTCACTTGTTTGCATATGACGGAGACTCTTGCAAATATGTTTGCACCTGTAGCGCCCGTGACCTGAAAAGAACCAGGACGCGACAGGGCTGACATCTTGAATGATGAGTGCGTTGAGTGCGTGGAAAGACGCGATCAACTTTGGGATTGACGGACGTGAAGGGGGGTTAGTTCTTGCGACTTGTCGGGAACAACAGAAGGTGCCCACTTTGCAAATGGCGCTGTGTGCGTGCAACACGTGCCCTGGTAGTGCGGCAAAACCTAGATATAGTGGCAAGGCGTATCCAGAGTGATTGATGCTTATCGCAGTTGGATGAGAGGCCGCGACTGGGTTGCGCAGCCAGCTTCGTTTGTCGAGGCACTCCCCTGGGAGTTCCAGAAGGTGTGATGGTTCCAACGGCGAGGCGGCCCTTCGGTGAATCGGGAAAGGACGGCTTTTTGGGTGGAGTGGGATGCATTTTCTGGACACCTCTCTAAGTGAACAGGGCCACTCTCTCAATCTGACTTCCTGGATCGGCGAGGCTGCCCTTTGCTCGGTGCGACATCATCTTTGATGACGCGCCCAAGAAGGCCTGGTGTTTAGGGCCAACTTGACCTTTGATCGCAGGCGCGAAGGATTCCCCTGGGTTCCCCTAGGTTTGATGGTCGATGAGGGTTGATTGGTGCTCAAGCAGCCATGCTGCATCCAATGGCCGGAATGAGCACTAGCGACGGCAAAGCAAACTGGAGGCCACCAGCATCCATGCCAAAGTTCTGGCACCGGAGCAGGTGTGGATTGTCCCCATCCCCATTGTCTCGCACGTAAGTCGGTGCCGGGCCAGGTTCGGTTGATTGACCTTTTCACGGGAGAGGGCAATTCCAACCGCACCCTCAGCCGGCCAGCTGGAAGCACGGGGCCAAAGGCGGGGAGTTGTTCATGTGCTCTTGACCTTTCTTGACTTATGCCAGTCATTGCATTGAGCTCTGGCGGTTGCAATCATCAACATGAGATGAGTGCCAAGATGGATGAGGCAGCAATGGTCAAGGGATGCGCTGGACACAATCATACAAGGTGAAATTGCTCTACACTTCCGTTTTGTTTTACACCTTGCAGACACCTCAAAGGACATGTTGCAAGGGGCATAAGCACCCGGCCAGTGGCCACACATCGAAATTTGAAGCCGCTACCGCCTGAAACCCTTTGAATGATTGTCACTCGGCAGTGCCTGCGGTACGAATGGATGTGGCAGTCAACACGCAGGCACACGCATGCACGCACGCACGCACGCGCGCGCGTGCAGACAAACATGTCTCTGTGTGTCTGTGTCTCTGCGTCTCTGCGTCTCTGCGTCTCTGCGTCTCTGCGTCTCTGCATCTCTGTGTCTCTGTGTCTCTGTGTCTCTGTGTCTCTGTGTCTGTGTCCGTGTCCGTCCGCGTCTGTGGCTTTGTCTGTGTCTGTGTGTCTGTGTGTCTGTGTGTCTCTGTGTGTCTGTGTGTATGTGCGTGTGTCTGTGTGTGTGTGTGTCTGTGTGTGTGTTGTGTTTTTTGCTGTGTTTTACAGAGACAGAGACGCAGAGACGCAGAGAGACAAAGAGAGACACAGAGAGACACAGAGAGACAAAGAGAGACACAGAGAGACACAGAAAGACACAGAGAGACACAGAGAGACACGGAGAGACACAGAGAGACACAGAGAGACACAGAGAGACACAGAGAGACACACAGAGGCACACAGAGACACACAGAGACACACAGAGACACACAGAGACACACAGAGACACACAGAGACACACAGAGACACACAGAGACACACAGAGACACACAGAGTCTGTGTGTCTGTGTGTCTGTGTGTCTCTGTGTGTCTGTGTGTATGTGCGTGTGTCTGTGTGTGTGTGTGTCTGTGTGTGTGTTGTGTTTTTTGCTGTGTTTTACAGAGACAGAGACGCAGAGACGCAGAGAGACAAAGAGAGACACAGAGAGACACAGAGAGACAAAGAGAGACACAGAGAGACACAGAAAGACACAGAGAGACACAGAGAGACACGGAGAGACACAGAGAGACACAGAGAGACACAGAGAGACACAGAGAGACACACAGAGGCACACAGAGACACACAGAGACACACAGAGACACACAGAGACACACAGAGACACACAGAGACACACAGAGACACACAGAGACACACAGAGACATGCATGCATGCATGCATGCATGCATACATGCATACATACATACATACTTACTTACTTACTTACTTACTTACTTACTTACTTACTTACCTACCATCTATGCCATACATACTATACATACTATACATACTATACATACTATACATACTATACATACTATACATACTATACATACTATACATACTATACGTACTATACATACTATGCACACTATACATACTATACATACTATACATACTATACATACTATGCATACTATACCTACTATACATACTATGCTATACTGTACTGTAGTAAAGTATACTATAATATACTATGCTACTATACTATACTGTACTGTACTGTACTATACTATACTATACCACACCATACCATACCGTACTTTCCTACATACATACATACATACATACATACATACATACATACATACATACATACATACATACATACATACATACATACATACATACACACACACACAGACATACGTACGTACATACATACATACATACTTACATAGATACATACATACCTTCCTACATACATATTTACATACACACATACACATACACGTACAAATACACATACACATACACACACACATACATTCACATACAGGCGACCACACACACACACACACACGCACACAAACATGCATGCACGCACGCACGCGCACACGCGCATACGCACGCACGCACTCACGCACGTTGACGCGCGCTGACGCGCGCTGACGCGCACACACACACACACACACACAAACACACGCGCACGGACGCGCGCGCAGATCTACCCGCCCACGTACACAGACGCGCGCGCGCATGTGCGCGCACACACACACACACACGCACAGGCACACACACACACACACACACCCAACAGACACGGACACAGACACAGACACAGATGGACAGACACGCGCGCTCGCACGCACGCGCGCAAGCGCGCGTGACGCACGCACCTACACACGCCAAAGCACACACACACACAAAAACACTAACCCGTTCGGACACGGACACGAACATGTACACGTACCCTCGCTTCAGCAGACACGCGCGCATGCACGCACACACGCACACACACACACACACTTATCTCGAGTGGCTTCACTCGCAGACAAGACAGCAAGAAACGCTTGGCTTCCCTTGGCATCAACAACAAAGGAACCAGACAGCGACTTTTGGGGGCCCAACATCACAAAAACAAAGGCATCAACAGCGGGTACGTTTTCACGGGACCAGAGGGGGGTCTTCGTTGGCCACCGCCCCCCCTGGTCCCCGGTGGCCCCCCGCCGGGTTTGTATCGTCCGTGATCCAGGACGGCGCACACGCACACAAAGCCCCGGTGGGGCGGACACGAACCACACAGAGGGAATTCCACCAGGGGACCGCCAAAAACCCCGCGGCAACAGCAAAAGATTTTCAAAGACGAAAAACCGGGCGCACAAAACCAAGCAGAGGGAATTCCACCAGGGGACCTCCAAAAACCCGTAGCAACAGCAAAAGATTTTCAAGGACGAAAAACCCGAGCACACAAAAAACCACACAGAGGGAATTCCACCAGGGGACCGCCAAAAGCCCCGCGGCAACAGCAAAAGATTTTCAAAGACGAAAAAACCCAAGCACACATCAAGGCATCGCATGAACGTGAAAGTGAATTGAACTGATCTGAGTCAGCGCAGAGCGTGAATCAATGAACTGCAAAGTCGGTGTCTGACCGGCTTGTCACTCGCGCATGAAGCTGCCGGAGCCTGATACCTCATGAGAGCTGCCTTGTTCAAAATGCAGGCAGTGCAATGCGAATGAAGCTGCCGGAGCCTGATACCTCATGAGAGCTGCCTTGTTCAAAATGCAGGCAGTGCAATGCGAATGCGAACTGAACTTGAACTTTTGAACGTCATCCCCTCGCAGGGGGCTCCCGCATATGGCGAGTCCAGCCCACGGCGCCATGTCGGACAGGCCGCGGGTATACACACTTATCTCGAGTGGCTTCACTCGCAGACAAGACAGCAAGAAACCCTTGGCTTCCCTTGGCATCAACAACAAAGGAAGCAGACAGCGACTTTTGGGGACCCAACATCACAAAAACAAAGGGACCAACAGCGGGTACGTTTTCACGGGACCAGAGGGGGGTCTTCGTTGGCCACCGCCCCCCCTTTTTTTTTTGGGTGGCCCCCCGCCGGTTTT